CAAAAGGTACATCTGGAAAAAGGGGGGGTCGTCTTATAATCAGGGTCGTCTTATATTCGGGCCAATACGGTATATTTTAATATATGAGGAGTTATGTCTTAAGATTTTGTCTAAAAGCTCTCATTAAACCCACATGTGCATTACATGTCTGTTTTTTCAACAGGACAATGGAGATGTGGTTCAGCCTCCTCTACATAAGAAACGATGTGTGAGAAAAGCCCCAGAACCTCTGAAAGTTACACTTTGAAGGCCAGTATCTAAAGAGCACACCTGTGAAGGTTGGTTCCTTCTGTCTCTCATTTTTACATTTCATACTTATAAAAACAAATAAAACCAAAGTAAGCCACTGGATCTTTTCTGGATCTGCTATTTAAATTCTTTGTATTATATTTCGGTACACACTTTAATGTGTGACAACCTGTTTTTTTCTGCTTTCTCAACAGGATGTGCATGTCAGTGATGTCAAGTCAAGTCAAGTTTATTTGTACAGCGCTTTTCACGATACAAATCATTGCAAAGCAACTTTACAGCAAATTAAGTTTCTACAATATTTAGTGGTAGCTTATCAGTGGTGACTGTCAATTAATGTACATATGGCAGAAATGTACGGAAAAATCTATTTAAGACGTAATAAAACAGACGATGAACACAATTAACAGCAATTATTATATGATGCAATCAAACTTATAGCTAAATGTGGTAGTTCTGTATGTTGTTTCAGGGTTGGCATCATCTGAGGTCCTCTGAGGGGTTGGCATCATCTCTTCTCAGGTGTTCTGGATCCAGACTGAAGCTTGTGTAATGATGTCCACATAAACAGCAGAGCATCAAATGAAAGAAGGAACAAAACTTCACCTTTGCACTTTGCTACTGTTACTGTGTTTTTTGATAATGAATGAAACAATAAACAATTTGGTGTCTTCCATCTGAAATACCGGTTCCTTTTATAAAGCATTGAAACAGAAAAAAATAGTTTTACTATTTCAGAATTGTATTGAATGAAGCATCACAAACATCATCAGAAAATGGTTTAGAACATTGAGACAGATTTATGCCCTGAACAATAATGTTTTGTCACTGCCCATTAAGCTTTTCTTTCTTGGGATGCTTACAATTTGAATGTGTCCTTTTCCTCGGTGACATAAGGGCAATAAACGTGATGATGAAAACCCCACTATTCATGCAGCCAGCCATTTTCACACTGCTTTACAACTAGAATATTGCAATGTTAACATTGTGTTAACGTAACTTTCTATAACATAGCCTGTCTACTTTCAGGCAGCTTCTTGTGCATTATATTGGTGAACATGTTTTCACTGTAAATATTTAAAGGGGTCATATGATGCTGCTAAAAAGAACATTATGTTGTGTATTTGGTGTAATGCAATGTGTTTATGCGGTTTAAGGTAAAAAAAAACACATTATTTTCCACATACTGTACATTATTGTTTCTCCTCTATGCCCCGCCTTTCTGAAACGCGTCAATTTTTACATAGCTCATTGTTCTGAAAAGCGAGGTGTACGAAGAGCTTGTAACACTCCAAAGAGAAAGGGAAAAATGAAATTGCATCATATGACCCCTTTAATAATTATTTATGTCAATAATTTTGACAATATATGCATCTACAATTTTACTACATGTGATTTCTTTCCCAGCTGTTTCCCTTCACAGACATAACCGACTGTGTTTTCACAACTTATGTGTGTTTTTCACATACACTTGTGTGTATTTGACAGTTTAGGCACAGTAAGACATGAAAGAGAACTTAGTTTAGCACTCACATGTTGTGTGACAACCGCTTTCTGTGTGCATGCTTCCCTTATATCAGAAGTTTAAACTAATATGATTTAAAAAGCATGATTTCAGAGATAGACATGATAATCAAAACCAAACACAATTTTTAGCAGAGTATCTGAGTAAAGAGCCCTATTCTGGAAAAGGGGGCGGGGAGCAGCAGCTCATTTGCATTTAAAGATACATGCATGAAAAAGTGTTTGTGCTTGCTCTCAAAATAGGCATTTTCAAAATGATATAATAAACAATCTGTGGGGTATTTTGAGCTACAACTTAATAGATACATTCTGGGGACACCTGAGACTTATATTACATCTTGTAAAAAGGGGCATAATAGGTGCCCTTTAATGCTAAAAATGTTTATATTCTAAACATGCACACTGGTCCAAATTGTCAAGCTGCTGAAATTTAACCCAAGAATAATTCATTAATTAGACCAAATCATCGATGTGATTTACAGTCAAGCATGTGGTAGTGATCAGACTGTTGGCCTCCATATCCAGAGATTTCCGTCAGTCGACTCTGCAACAATGTGATTGCAACTCTGCTATAATTGAACCCTCAGCCTTGGCTCAAAACCAGGACATTTTACTGGAGGACAGCAGTTGAATCTGCACAAGATTGGCAGATTCTTCAGAACTTTCACAATATTTATTTAATCTACTGTCAAAATGAAGGCTCCTGTTTACCATCCTGACAGCTGACAGCTTTTGTGCTGTATTCATGTTTCTCTTGGATCGCAAAATCATTTTCCATTTTGCGCTAAGCACATTTTATTTTACTGTCTCTCATAAAGTTTTCTGGCCTGACTCATCTCTGGCCTTGTTAAAACTTCATCCACGCAGCCCACTGACGTGAATGAGCCTGCAATGCCAACTGAGAGGGCCGAACAAAAGGATATAAAAGAGGATACAGACAATTATATATACATATTCCTGTCTATGCACAGCTCCAGATCTTTATATGTATATCCATGCATATGAAGCACATGTCATTTTGATAAAGCAGGTGCATTACAGTGCAGGTGCATGGTAATGAAACTGACATCTTAGTTTTGAACAGTGCAAACTCCATCATGCTGTGCTCATTAATTGCACACACACTAACAGACATGGTATCAAATGCCCTTACTGACCCCATACACACAGAATTGCACAAAACTGGAAATCAGACAATAAAAGATCCGCAAATCATCTCTGCCATTATTTGCACCATTTGAAACATAGAATTAGATTTTGATGAGTTCATGCTGATCACAGAGTGAATTACATTGACATTGAGTCTAACAAAGCTGTTGGAAATGTAAGAAAGAAATGCATGCAAGTTTGGAACAACATGAGGATAAGCAAATTATGTTTTGGTATGCCTTTAAGAGCAATGGGAACGCAATATGATGAATATTTCTTGTCATGTCTTTAAAAAAGCCTGAGAAGATATTTACCTGAACAAGTATCAAAAGATCTGGAAAAATGTTACAGAAGTCAATAATAAATTTTTTTTTTAAATGTATGGGTTATATAGGGGATAGGATTGGTAATATCTTACCAAAATAGAGCAGATTACATCAATGAACCTCAAGTACTGAGAAGACCAAAGGACAGGTGTGCTCTATAAAGATTAAAGGGGTCATATGATGCGATTTCAATTTTTAGCACACCTCGCTTTTTCAGACCGATGAGCTTTGTAAAAATCAACGCGTTTCAGAAAGGCGGGGCATAGAGGAGAAACAATAATGTACAGTATGTGGAAAATAATGTTTTTTTTTAACCTTAAACCGCATAAACACATTTCATTACACCAAATACACAACATAATGTTCTTTTTAGCAGCATCATATGACCCCTTTAACAAAGTGGAGATGTGAAGTGTTATTGAGCTGCAGATTGTGAATAGAGAAGTTTCACCCCATTACAGTCACTTACAAGAGGATGACTCAGAGTTCCCTCGATTTAAGGACCAGTGCTTACACAAGAGCTTCTTTGTTATGGACCCTCAGTGGAGGATTGACTCCACTTCTTAACATAATGACCCGGTTCATTCAACATTATTATCTGAGCCTAGATTATATCTGTGAAAAAAAAAAAAAAAAAACCTTGTTATACTCTGTCCGGATTTACAAGACAAAAAAACACTGACTGTAACAACTGACGTAATGAAAACTGTATTAATGCACGTCATTATGCTGCACTGTTATATCCATAACACCCTGGAATGCTTTACATAAAGTGCTTTTATGTCACACAAACAAACTCAATACCCTACACTAATGGATTTGCTTGGTTTAACCTGCTATAGAACTAACTGTAAAATCAGATGGAAAAAATAAAATTACTTTATATTTCAAGTATACTTAAGACTAGTATCATATCGTTCCCCTCAGGGAACCATGGTTACATACGTAACCTGAGACGTTTTCTAAATAATACCTTTTGGCTTTTGACAATTTTAGGTTGTAGTCATTTAAGTCAACTGAAATTATTTTTGGTAAATTGTCTAAAACTTAAACCAAATTTAAACACTGTAAAAAGCGATCAGTTGACTTTACTTTAAAAAACTGAGGAAACCTGCTGCCTTAAAATGATTAAGTAAATAAACTTAATGCATAATGAAAGAAATAAGTTAAGTGAACCTGACAATTCTGAGTTACACTGACAAATAACAGTTTGAAAATGTGTTGTGTTCACTTTTTATTTTAAGTTGGACTAACTTAAATTTATTAAATTGAAATTACTTAAAAGTGTGAATCTACTTAATTTAAAACTATTAAGTTAATCTGAGTTCTGTCTGCTTAGTTAAATTGAGGAAACCCGTTGCCTTGAATAAATTAATTAACCACAACTTAATATGTGTAACTACAATTCACTTGTGACTGATTTGATCTTATTTGATCAATTTCTTTAAAGTTGAAAATTGTAAGCTACTAATACAATTCTCAAAAATACAAAATTGTTCAAAACAGACTGCACAAAAACATTTCTATGAAGAATTGTGAAGTCAACTCACCCTTATTTATATATAGCGCTTCATACAATACAGATTATGTCAAAGCAGCTTTACATTGTTAAACAAGAAAATAGTGTTGATAATGCAAACAAAATTCAGCTCTGCTTTAAAGCAGCTCTAAAAAGTGGACAATAATAAACAATCAATTTTTGAATTAAAATTAGTTCATTGTTGATTGTGATGTCATCTCAGTTCAGTGTCTGTGCAATCAAGTCGATAATATTCCCAAAAAATAAGAGTCCCCAACTAAGCAAGCCAAAGGCGACAGTGGCAAAGAACCAAAACTCCATCGAAAAGAATGGAGAAAAAAACCTTGGGAGAAACCAGGCTCAGTCAAAAGGCCAGGTCTCCTCTCGGATAAATGAAACCAGCATGATGTGGTTTTTCATGGTCTTTGCAGGGGATCTATCTCTAGGACTCATCTAGTTGTCCTGGTCTCCGCTGACATTCAGGGCTGTAGAGGTCGTCTCTAGGTGCTGATCCACCATCTGATCTGGATACAGACTGGGTCCGGGTGGCTATGGTGACCTTGGAATAAGAATGAGACAGACTGATATTAGTGTAGATGCCATTCTTCTTACAATGTAACAAGTACATCAGGTGTATTTGATATTGCTATTGTTATTGAACCTCTTCAAAATGAGACATGGCCATTTTGGGAATAACTTCATGGGACACTTCAAACATTACAATTACACCACCTTTTCTTTACATATTGCAAAAGTGTCATAGTAAATAACTTACCACAGTTCGACCACATGAAAGAAGATTGCAAAATGTCCATTAAATAGACCCGTGTTGGCACTTCTGCTTGAGCATGCTCTAAGTAATACCTGAAATGATATGAGAGTCATTAACATAAACTGGCTAACTAGCTAACTTGTCCCAATCCCATCCCACCCTCATATATTTTGTAATTATTCAGTCAGTGTGTGACATAATGTACATCCAGTTGGTCTTTATCACAAAATACCCAATGAGCAAAAGTACATCCAAAAGACGTCATTTCAACTTTATCACACTTTGAAATGACGTACCTTGAGTGTCACAGTCATCTGCTGGAGTGCCCTTAAGAGCCATCAGAGGGCACTATTTTAGACTTTGTGTTTATGTTTTAACTGGACTGCATTTCCCATGGTTCCCCTCACCCATCATCCCCTGCATCCTCATTGTTTCATTGGTTTCAACTGTGTCTTGTTAGTTTGATGATCCTGCTGGTGTGTATATGGGCCTGTTTACACCTGGTCATTTCATGCATTTTCACTGATCGGATATCTATCGGATTTGTTAAAACATTCCCATTTACACTTGGCGACATAAATGTGTCGTCGCAAAACAGATTTAAATCCGATCTTCAATTCCCGCGCTATATTTAAATTTAACGGAGTTCACGTCAACGAAATCAAAAGATAAGCACAGCATTTTATTAATTATCAGGTCATTTCAAGATCAAAGACCGCAATAGGAGAGCGCGGGCATCAGCACTGGAAAGATAAGTTTGTCTTACTACTTTTAATGAAGATGATTGTGTGTTGACCGTCTGCGTCTTACTTTCAGTTTCATTCGCGGCAGTTTAGGCGTTGGCTTGCTGAAGAGCTACTCATTTTCACGATCGGATAGCTATCCGATCAGAAAAAACGCATGAAGTGCCCAGGTATAAACAGGCCCTATATGTCGGATGTCGGGCTTCAGTCTTGCTTTTGCTGTTACGTGTTCATGCCTCGGATTATCTTGTGTTTTTGCCTTGTTTTTCCCTGTTTTGGATTATTGTCTGGATTATGTTTGGATCATTAAAAGATGCACTTGGATAATTTTGTTTCTCAAATCATCCCGTGACAGAAGACTGAAGCCATTACTTGTTCCAGCAGCATGAGGGACAAGACTCTATTCCCTGAAGAGCAAGCTGGGTTTCAAGGGCTGGAGAAGCTTCACCAAAAGGGAATGGAGGTACGGGCCTTTGCCCAGAGATTCTGGACTGGGGCGGAGAGGCTGGACGTTCAAGATATGGACCTTAAGGACATTTTTAATCTTTGTCTGGATGAATCCTTACCGCACTGGGAGATGGAACTGGTGAAGTCACTGGATTTCTGGAACTTCTCCAGGTACCTGCAGCTCCGAAAGGAGGGAAAGGTAATTCACCACCACCAGAGTCCACCTGCAGGGGCTGTTCCATCCCCACCTCCTTCATCTAGTCAAGCCCAGGATCCTTCATTGATTCCCACGCTCAAGCGGAGGTAAAGAAGGAGGGCAGCAAAGACTCTGGTGGTCTCAAGTCCGGTGGTCCTGGAGGACCTGTCTCTGGTGGTCCCAGGTCAGGTGGTCCTGGAGGACCATACTCCGGTGGTCCCAAGTCAGGTGGTCCTGGAGGACACTACTCCGGTGGTCCCAAGTCAGGTGGTCTTGGAGGACCCGACTCTGGTGGTCCCAGAAGTTTCTGAGCAGCCCACACTCTGTCTCACCCATGATCCTTGCCCTGCCGGCTCCTCCCATGATCCTTGCCCTGCCGGCTCCACCCAGGCTCCTTGCTTTGCCAGCACAAACCAAACTCCTTGCCTTGCCAGTCCCATTTAAGCTTCCTGCTACGTTGGCCCAGGAGCCTGCCACGGAGCCTGCTCCAGTCCGAGAGCCCTCGGAGTCCACTCCAGAACCCGCTACAGTTTGTGAGCCCTCGGAGTCCACTCCAGATCCCGCTCCAGTCCGGGAGCCCTCAGAGCCCGCTCCAGTCCAGGAGCACGCAGAGTCCACTCCAGAGCCTGCTCCAGTCCAGGAGCTCACGAAGTCCACTCCAGGACCTGCTCCAGTCCAGGAGCTCTCAGAGCCCATTTATGAACTCACTCCAGTCTGGGAGTCCTTAGAGTTCACTGAGGAACACTTGGTCTGTCCGGTTACGGTCAACGAGACCATTGCGGAGCGATCTGTCTGTCCTGTTGCAGCCGTCGAGGTTCAAATTTGGTTCAGATGTAGTCATTGTGGATGTATTTTCAACGTCTTATAGTATCATCTGCAGTCTCATTTAGACATAATTTATACTGCTTCTGGACCACAAAAACACTCTTAGGCTGCATTCAATTAAAACTCATGCAAATCAATTCAGACACAGCATGTTTATATAAAAACCAAAGAAATTTCACTCATCATACAGTGGATAACCATTAACAAAGAACAAACAGTTTAGTTTAGCTGGGCCCATACATTATGTTCACCTGTTGGAGCTTAATTGGGGTGGAAAACAATTCAAATTCTTAATGATGGTACATTCTTTATTCATGTAACTCACCTGAATAATATCTGCCTGCACAATAATGAAAAGAACGCACAAAATGCTAGGACAGGCATCTATATCCAGAGTGTGGTGTGGCAGAAGGAACTGGAACGGACTTCTGTCCAGGTTGTCACAACATCTCTCTGTCTTCACGAACTGCCCTGAAACACATTGAAATATAAACGATTATTATGAATATAAATGTAGCTTCACAATGCTCATTTGGCCTCTGTGGTGAATATTTGATCAGAAAATATGGACAGACTGATATTTAGTCTTTAATGAATCATTTCAAAGAGTGTTTTTTTTATTTTATTTTATTATTATTATTTGAAATTTTGTAGCGCCTAATTTCTCACGTGAGCATCCGGGATCCACAACAACATCTATTTTACTATAAGAACAAACACTTCACACAAAATAAAGTTTTGAAAATATTACATTGTTTTATTTATTATTGTTAAGTTATGTGTTTTAGTGAAAAATTCAAACAACTAAAAGGGATCAACATAAATTTACCTCAGACTGTAACTTCGATCACCTCACGCGCAAATTAACCAACATTAACCCATTGTGCCCACATTTTTCTGAATGGTTTGATGCATATAGTCATGTTAATAGTGTCCTATGTGAACATGTTCTGCATTTTCCCCAGGTTTTTTTTTTCTTTCGTAAATCGTATTTGAATGTGCGGCAACTATAGTTGATGCGATTTCAAGTTTTCCTTTCTCTTTGGAGTGTTACAAGCTGTTCGTGAATAGATAAGATCCCTAAAGTTGCAAAGACTAAAGTCCCAAATCCAAAAATATATTCTTTATAAAAGTTAAGACTCTTCCACGCCCTCCTAAAATGCCTCGTTTAAACACACCCCCACATGTCTACATCACTGTGTGTGAAGATTTGCATAACGTCGCCCAAATGTTCAAGCAAAGAAAGAAGGCGTAACTTTAATTTTCGCTGTAGTATTGTTGCTGCCGCCACCATGTCTCGGAGACGCTGTGTGTTTCGTTGTGAAAGCGAAACTACTTTGTTTGGCCTTCCAAAAGAGTACACAATTAGAAATCAGTGGTTAAGTTGTATTTACAACACTGTTCCAGAACAGTTCAACCCA